AAAAAAATTGTGTGTGTGTATATCAAAAAGAGGGCGATTGTCTCGTATTCACATACAGGTTATAGTTATGTTCAGTAAAAAAAAACCTGATTGTGTGTATAAACTCGGGGGGAGGGGGGAGGTTGTTTTACATTCAGGCTCCCCTTCTATTAGAATAAATGTGGTAATAAATCATATATGATCGTCTTTATAACTGGGATGGGGAGGCTGTGCTGGGCAAATGGCGCAGCGTAAAGGTGCAGGCTAGAGGGGCGCAAGAGAACTCAGCTTCCCAGGGCTCATAAAGGCCAGCACAGAAAATAAAGGCAAATTTAGAACAGCTAAACCAGAACAGGTAAGTTCCTTGAAATGTAACACCGTCTCCAGCAGGGACAATGGGGAGATTCCCTTACAAACCCAGAACACTGTCTGGAGAGAGCCAGTTTGGTGCGGCGGTTAGGAGTGCGGACTCTAATCTGGGAGAACTGGGTTTGATTCCCTGCTCCTCCACATGCAGCTGCTGGTGTGACCTTGGGCCAGTCACAAGCTCTTTCAGAGCTGTTCTCTCAAGGGCAGTTCTCGGGAGAGCTCTCTCAGCCCCACCTGCCTCACAGGGTGTCTGTTGTGGGGAGGGGAAGGGAAAGGAGACTGTAAGATGCTCTGAGACTCCTTTGGGTAGTGAAGGGCAGGGTATAAATCCTATCTCTTCTTCTTCTTTGGGTTAACAAAAAACCACACATGAGAGCCCAGCTGTGGGACATCCACACTTACCCCTAAAGCCGAACTCCAAGGCTTCCGCATACGGACAGAGTAAGTTCCAATCATCCAAGGACAGCTGGGAGGACAAAGTCATGGTGCTCAGGTTAGTGGGTAGGTGGCTTAATTTTGGGAAAGGGCTCTCTGTAGGGAGGGAGAAAAAGGCTGGTTAGAGACGTTTCCTCCATACACTTTAGGCGTACAGAGAGGTCAGGAGAGTCCCCACACTCCTGGCCTTCCACAAACGGTGCAAAACTGACTCACAGGCCGAGATATCGATACTGCCCTGATTCTATACCAGGGGTAGCCAAACTGTGGCTCCGGAGCCACGTGCGGCTCTTTCACACATATTTTGCGGCTCCTGGCAGGGTGGCTGGGTAAGCGAAGGGGAGGTAGGTTTCCCCGGTCGGTCTTCCCTTCCCCACCAGTGTTCCCTTCCCTGGCTAGGCTTGAGGTGGGGAGGGGAGCAGAGAAAGAAAGCAACTTTAACTTCAAATGCGTTCTCAAAGCTCCCCCCCCCAGCCAACTTGGAGGACGCATTTGTCTCTTTAAATCCCTTCTCCAAGCCGAGCCAGCCAGAATAGGGGGCTTGGAGGATGTATTCAAAGTTGTTTTCTCTCTACCTCTCCCCCCCTACTGGCTTTCGTTCCACTCTTCTGTCTTTCTCCCCTCCCTCCCCGTCTAAAGTTAAATGTGTTCTCCGAGCCCCGCCACACCGGCAGACTGGCTTGGCTCGGAGAAGGCACTCGTCTCTTTAATTTAATTTAATATGCAAATCTATATATTTTTCAATAAAAACGTGTGTGTTCATGTCTTGGGGCTCTCAAACATCTGGCGTTTATTCTATGCGGCTCTTACATTAAGCAAGTTTGGCCACCCCTGTTCTATACAGTAACCTGGTTAAAGCTTTGAAACCCCTTTTGGTTAAGAATATCAGATAACTCATTATGGGCAACCCACCTTCAGCCCCTGTGAGAAAGGTGGACAATAGATAATGTAAATACAGAAAAAGAATAGATTTCCTTTTGTATTTGACTGGGGGTAGCCCATCCCCAAGGTGCAGTATAAATGCTTGGATACTCAGTGGAAAACATGGGTAACCAGGGGTCATTTTGTAGAAAAAGAGGTGCAGGAGATCATTTGCGTAACTCATTTGCATAACTTATTTGCATATGCCACACCCCCTGATGAAGGGCAGGCATGGAAGCATGCCTGGGTTCCCTATCCGATCTTCTCCAGGTGCTCCATGGCTGCGGGGCACCTGTAGAAGATCGAGCAGGGAACCCAGACATGTTTAAAATGTTGTAAAATAGTCAAAAATTGTTTAATACTTAGACTATTTGATGGATCGTGCTCTATTGGAAAGAAGAGAGTTCTTTGCTTTTACAAATACTTTATTCTAAGGGAAAAGGGTTCACGGGATTTCTACAAATCAACATAACACTAAGAGCTACATTTCTAAGCTGCCTACAGACAAAGCAAGCACACACGTAATGGAGATTCTCTCCTTCTTCTTGACCCCTAGAAAGGAAGTCACCTGAAACAAATGACCAATCTGTATCACAGTAGAAGCTACTTTTCCCAGGCTAATCCCCCATTGGCTTAGTGCCAGGTATCCCTTCCAGGTCAGTCTAAACAATAGCAAACTAGGAATACAAGTTAACCCTATAATGACTGAATCAGACCTTGTAAACACATACATTTCCAACATAAAATGCCTTTCTTTCCCTTCCCCAGCCAACCTGATGCCGTGGACTGCCTGGGGAAGCAAAGGGCAGGCATGCAAGCATGCCTGGGTTCCCTACTCCTGGGGTTGTTACTCCTGGAACACCATTCCAGCTCGTTCCCCCTCGAAATGACCCCTGGGTAAACCCATGTTTGAATCCCCCACCTTGGGCCAGTCACACACTCAGGTCAGGCTGGGAAAAGGAACGGTGGAGCCAAAGTCACTCAGCGAGTTTCCTGAGCCTTGAACGCAGGACTCCCCTGCCTCAGTCCACCAACTCCAGCCACCACAGCCTGTCCGTCAACCACCTCTCCCCCACGAGTCGCCTTACCGACTTGCAACGTCGAAGTCGCCACGTGGCTGTACCTCGGGCAGCCTGGCCGCGTGAGGAAACCTTTCTGTAAATTCTCCGCTTCGGTCATGTAGCCCTCCAGTAAGGGTGTCATGGTTTGTTCCACAGACTGAGAGAGGAGGAAGAAGGAAGGAGGCAAAAGGCACGTTCACAACTGCTGCCCAAATCGATATTTTTAAAAATTCCACATCATAAGCGATGCTCATAAGCGTACCTCTTTCTTGTAGTACCGCTCGAGCACCTGGGATGCTTTGCTGGGGTTAATCTTGCTGCTGGTGGGCGGGTTCCAGACCGAGTTCTGCGGCTTCCGGTCGATCACCTCTTGCAGCTCACTCAAGCCTTTCAGCATCAGGCTGACCTGTTTCTTCATTGCCATATCCGCCGCTCTGCTCTCAAAACCATACAACAGAGAAGAAAAGGACCTTAATGATCATAATTGTGTGCCGACAAGTCGTAACTGACTCCTGGCAACCCCAGTGATGGAAGTAAGGGATTTCTGCACTTTTCTTTTAGCCTCAGACTTCAGAGGGGGACCACAGAGAATCAGAGGGATAGATAGGTAAGGACCTCGAACATCCTTCCTTTCTACTGCTCTGATGCTGTCCCTTTGACTGTGTAGATTGCTATTCCCAGGGAATCTTCCTTCCAGTTGATATCTTCTCTCCATTGTCTTCTCCATCTGGGCACCATAAAGGCAGGATGTACCTCCAGCATCTTTATCCATCCTAGCTAGTTAAGACTAAATTCGGATCCTGTCTCTGCCCTATCTTGTCTAGAATGGAGTCCCTTACAACAAAGAGCTCATATTAGTTTTACAAAGATAAAGAGGCTCTGTGTGTAACTTTGTTCAAGCACACAGCAAATAGACTCTGCTGCATTATGTGCCTTGAGCATTCTCCTAATACTCTTTCACCCAGGAGCATATGGTTTTCCAGGCAAGAGAGGAACAGAGGAGGTAGTTTCCTATTGCTTGCCTCTGGACTTCCTTGGTGGTGTCTCATCCAAGTACTAACTAGGGGCTCCTCTGCTGAGCTTCTGAGGTGAGAAAAGTCCGACTAGCCTGGCATATTCAGGCTGCAGAAAAATCCTTGCTGGATTTAAAAGTGCACTGTAAATTGTCGTCGTTCAGTCGAGTCCAACTCTTTGCGACCCCATGGACCAGATCACGCCAGGCCTTCCTGTCTTCCGCCGTCCTCTGTAAGTACTGGTGAGCAAATCCCCCCCCTTCACTCCACAATGCAGTCAGCCTTTTCAGTGTCCCTTTAGCTGGCAGAATTTCTAAAATTAACACTGGAACGGGTACAGGTGCAACTTGCAAAGGCTTGCAGTTCCTTCGGTTTGTCTTCTTTCTCTTCATCTTTGCTACTGATGTGTACATGTGTGGTTAAAAACAAAAACGACCCCCCCACCACCTGCAATATTGATGTGGCCAAGGTTGACCCCTCCAAAATTCGTTTTGAGTTGTCATGATGTGCACATGATCTCATGGTTGGACATGCCTGGACATTTGGGGGGGAGGGTAGGCACAGTACATCACTCTTAGAGTGTACTACAACATGTATTATCTCCTTGAATTATCTCTTTGTCTTAAGCTGGGAGCTGCCCTCTGATCCCTCTCTCCTCTCTCTCACATGGCCTCTCCATGAAAGGCCATGTTTTGTTTTTTAAATGAACTATTTTTGGGTTGTGCGAGTGTCTATATGGAGGGAGCAGCATTTCAGAACGACTGCCCTCTCGCGACCTGCAGCCTGCCACAGGCAAGAATTTATCACCTCATTGAGGACTAGCCTGCTGCGACTCCCGCCCAACGTTCCAAGTATAAAATACCACAAGGGGCGTGGCTAGTCTGGAGGGGCGTGGCTGGAGGCACATTATGGGGCGTGACAAAAGTCGCAGCCTACCTCCAGGTGAGTTTCCACCCCGTCTCACTATACCCCTCCCCCCGGCCCGGTCACCTCTGCTTCGGTCTCGAACTCTCCCTCCCTGCCTGCTTCGTCCCACCTCTGGTGAGCGCGGCAATCCTTTGCTTTCCCCACCCCCGCGGTTGCTGAGCAACGCGGCCCCGTGACACTGCCAGAACTACAGCTCCCGTCATCCCTTTGTGACTAGGGAAGCGCCTGCGCGAGAGGCGGAGCGCTCTACATCGCTCTCTCCTTCATTCATACTCCAATGTGCGCCGTTCCAGTCCCAGCCGCGCTGTGCGCATGCGCCCTAGGGAGAGCTACGGAGGTGACGTGAGTTCTTGCCCTGGGAGCTTGTAAGTGGGGTGGGGGGCGCCGGGGGCAGGGTGGACTTGCAAGCATGTGCAACGAACGAGTCGGTTCTGTGAGTGCACGAACCGGATTTATGCTGATTTGAGCAGCTGATGAGCGACTGATTTCCTATTCTCGCTTTTCTTCTCTTCCCCAGCAAGAAGACATCATGGTTCACCTCGGTAAGTGAGGTTGACCCTAATAATATAAACGGTGCGCGTGACGCTTCAGCGTGTGCATTTCTGTTGCATTGGCAATCCTTAAAACAACCTTGTAAGTCTTACTGTCCCTCGTATTGCAAGGGATGTGGGCAGTTTAACACCACCAGTCTGACAAATGCCCAGCCCCTTAGGTCAAAGTGAGTTTTAATACTATGAAAAGTATCTGTCTAATAGAGAAAGCCCTGAGGATCCAGTTTCCCATTTCCTCTGGGAAACACATTAACAGAGAATGAAAGATACTACCCTTCCCTGCTACTTAGCATCAGGCATTCAGAGGTAGACGGCCTCTGCAACCCTGAGGTTCCGATTAGTTTACTTACCAGCTGTTCATCTGCTCTTAAGAATGTGAAAACAGGCACGTTGAACTAGACCATGGGTGCATCTCGTCCAGCATTCCGTTTCCCACAGGGGCTGGCCAGATCCTCCAAGGAAGCCCATAGGTACAGCATGAAGATGACAGTGCTTCCCTTTTGTTCATACCCCAGCAATGGGTATTCAGAGGTATACTGCCACTAGATATGGAGGTTCTCTGCACAGCCATTGTGGATATCCAGGGCTTTTTTTGTACAAAAAGCCCAGCAGGAACTCATTAGCATAATAGGCCACACCGAACAGCAGAAACTCATTATCATATTAGGCCACTCCCTGACAACAAAGCCTATTAGCATATTAGGCCACTCCCTGACAACACAGCCTATTAGCATATTAGGCCACACCCCATGCCTTCCCTTGGTTTGCCGGGGGGGGGGGGCGCTCTCCAGACCTTCCCTCTGTAGCCACGCATGCAGAGGTTCTGGCTGTAGTGGGTGTGGCCAGAACTCTGTTCCTGTGTGTTCCTGCCCAAAAATAGCTCTGTGAATATCTCTTTCATGAATTTATATTCTGCCATTCCCCCACGAAACTGAAGGCAACATGTATGATTCTCCCCTCTTCTGTTCTATTCTCACGAGAGCCCTGGGAGGTAGGCCAGGCCTTGACAGATTTTCTTGGTTCTAGGAGCCAGCCCAAAGATTTAGACGCTGGACTCATTTTTCAGTCTTCAGAAGTTCATATGTTAATTATCATATTTTCCAAATATTAATACCATAAAACCTAACCAGTTTCTTGTAATTTTATAACAAAAGTGTTGTATATAAATAAACCTCCCCCCCAAATGTCCAGGCATGTCCAACCATAAGCTCCAGGTGTCGTTGCTACAACTAAAAGCTAATCCCTAGCCTAATTGCTCTCCTATTTCTGGTAATTTTATGATTGCTTTAAAAGCTCCATTGAATTGAATATTAGAGCCAGTATGGAAAACAACAGGTTAAGAAATGAATTTCTCCTCCACCACTGAATGGTGTCAAGTTAACAGATAAGCAACCAAGGACAAGAATATCGTGCACATGTATGTTTATGCCATACAACAAAACAGATTCTGATGTGACATGATAAATAAGCTTTTATTTCTCATTGAGAGACACTACAATAAGAACCACTGCTAAAAATACTGAGGCGCCACAGTGAAATTTTTAGATGCCAGGGCAACCTGGCGCCTGGGATTTGTCAAACTGTGAGCCAGGCTGAGAGAGCATGACAGGCCCATGGTCACCCAGGAAGCTCATGGCAAGTAGGGGTTTAAAACCATCTCTCTCTCTCTCTCTCTCTCTCTCTTTTTATATGAATTTTATTAAGGTTTCTATACATGAAAGAAAAAGGAAGGGAAAAAAGGGTAAAGTAACAAAAAATATAGAAACTACACAACAGATCAACTAAGAGCAGGGAAAAGGAGAAAAACCGGATTTTCTCTGCCACAGAAAGCCATACATTTACTTATTACCATCTTAGTCTGAATCAGCCCAAGGGGAAAATATCAGCTTTCTGTGTAAGCTCATTATCTTTGCCTTTTAGTCTTCAAAACCATGTCATCAGATCATTTTCCCCCTTTTTACACAGGAAGTCCATAAAGGGTTTCCATGTAGATATGAATTTAAGTCTTTTCTTTTGTCAAAGACAAAAGTTTGGCCGTCTCTGCAAACTCCATCGTCTTGACTAGCCATCCCTCGATCGTAGGTCATGACGAGGTTTTCCATTTCTGAGCATATGACAGTCCTGCTGCCAATGTCATATACAAAAACAAAGTTCCATATGTATTTTCTAGTTGTTGTAAACCCAGCTGTCCTCAGTCACTCACAGTCCAGCACTTTGATGACGTGACTACACTGTAGTAGCTCTAACTGTGGATACGCGTGTCCTTCACAAATATGCCTAATCCCTTTTTAATCTGCAGCCAGACGCAGAAAAGGATATTCCAAGAAAGCATGTCCCCATTGTGTGTCTGCGCTTTCTCCTGCAGGGCAACACCTCATGAAACAGTACCACAAGTCTCACCTGGTCATCCGCTTTGCCCTCGGCGGCTGTGCCAACAGGCCGTACTACCGGATCGTGGTTGCCGAGAACAAGCGGGCCCGTGACGGCAAATACGTGGAGCAGCTGGGCTGCTATGACCCCCTCCCAAACGACCATGGCGAGAAGATTATCGGCTTGAACATCGAGCGCATTAAATACTGGCTGGGCCGTGGGGCCTATACCAGCATGCCTTTTCAAAAGCTTCTGGGTAAGCCAGCCGCTTCTTCTTCAAACTTGCAGCCCGGGGACTGGATCAGGCCCCTGGAGGGCTTCTATGAGGCCCGCAGTGTAAGTGGCCGTCTTCTGCTTCTTCCAGTTCTGCTGCATCATTGTAGCTTACAGATGCACACCTGAACAGCATACTCAAGATTGCAACAGCACAGACATTTTGATGCAATAATTCAGAGCAAGAGGTGTCAGTTATCAGACACTGTTAAATAAACAAAATATTGCAAGAGTGCTAATGTTTTAAGCATGTTTTTATTTTAAGTAAAAAAACAACCTTTGTGTTTGTGTCCTTTATAAAGTTTATATCTCCGCTATCTGGCATTACATTTTATGACACACATGGCCCGGCCCAACAAGGTCTCATTTATGTCAGATCTGGCCCTCATAACAAATGAATTCGACACCCATGTTAAGGGGTTAAGGAGTTGGTAAAAAGTTTCTCCTTCCCGATTTTGTCTTTAGGACACTGACTGCAATGGATGAAAGTAAGGTAAAGGTTCCCTTGCTTGAAAGCCAGTCGAATCCGACTCTACGGTTGCGGTGCTCAGCTCCGTTTCAAAGCCGAAGAGCCAGCGCTGTCCGAAGATGTTTCCGTGGTCATGTGGCCAGCATGACTAAACACCAAGGCGCACGGAACGCTGATACCTTCCCACCGAAGTGGTCCCTATTTATCTACTTGCAATTTCTTGCTTTCGAGCTGCTAGGTTGGCAGGAGCTGGAACTAGAGACGGGAGCTCACTCCGTCACGCGGCACACTCGGGTCTCGAACTGCTGAACTACCGACCTTCCACAGCCTGCAGTTCAGCGTCTTAACCACTTGAGCCACCGCAGCTCCATAGGATGAAAGTAAATCCCTACAATTAACCCCCTTTTTTTTTGTCCTTCCTAGGACTTGCTGGATTTTTCCCCCTGCATCCCATGACCATCACCAACGCAGAACGGCTCAAGAGGAAACGGGCCCGGGAGACGGCTGCAGTCATGGAGGCGGCTTCAGTTACTCAGGAAGAGGACTCTGCGGCAAAGGAATGAAGGCGAACAGGGGGGACAGACTGGGCCTGATTCCTTCAAGGACTTTTGCTGCCAGCTCCGAGGGACTCTCAGGGCCAGGATGCCCAGAAGTGCACAGAAGCAACCCGAATCCCCAAGATTTATTAAAACCTCTTTTGGGTGTTTGCACAGTTTGTGAAATCTCCTTTGCTGTTCTTCTGAGACACAAAACCCAAACAAGGACCCACGGTAAGTGGGAAAACCAACATACAACAGATACCGTGCACAGGTGAATGATAACCTATCATAAATAATTTTATATATTTCAAAAAATATTA